CATCTCTAGTGTCTAGCTTTGCATTCAATGTCGTTCAATTCCAATTCCGACATTCCCCCACCCTCATCCACACCCATCTTCTCCCCGCCGCTCACCATTGTTCTAATCGTTGTTATCCTTGTTTGCTTCTTTATTGGCTTTTTCTCAGTATACTTCTGTAAGTCTGTCATGACAAAAGTCCTCAACAGGTTGCATATCAGCCGTAGCCCCGCAGGCGCTCCTGTTGCTACCACAGCAGCATCCATTGATTCCGGCCTTGATCCTGCACTAGTACAATCTTTTCCCACGTTCAAATACTCGACTGTCAAAGATTTTCGCAGGGAAAAGTATGGCCTAGAATGTTCAATATGCTTGGTAGAGTTTGGGGATGATGATATGCTCCGCCTTTTGACAGTCTGTTACCATGTTTTCCACCAAGAATGCATTGATCTTTGGCTTGGATCGCATAAAACATGTCCAGTTTGTCGCAGTGATCTTGAATTACCTGAAAAGCCACTAGAGAAATCTCCAATGCTCGCTCATAGCAATTCCCTGCATGAACTTGGAGAGAGTAATGCATCACCTCAGGACGCCATTAGCATTGAGATTAAAGAACATAAAGGAGAAGGAAGTGCACCAGAAGCCTCTGCCGATGCAAGAGAAAAGAAGGCAAAACGTGAAAAGCTTGAAAGATTTTCGAGGTCTCATTCTACAGGGCACTCAATACTTATTAATGTAGAAGAGGATAGACATACATTGAGATTGCTAGAAAATGTCAGACTTAAAATTATTAAAGGACATAACTCCACCGTGAGTTGTATCACATTTGGAGAATTCTGTAGCCCTATAGCCACCAGAAACAGAGGTCCTGATGACAGTGCTGAGTGCTCCAGAGGAGACATCAATAGAGTCTGAGTATCCATCCCTTCATCTTCTTCTTCTTCTTCCTCCTTCCCATCCCCCCCTCCCCCTCCCTTTCTGTCTCTTCACATAGAATAGAAGGTATTTGTTTTTTTTCTTTTGAGATTATATTAGAATGAACAAAAAGAAATCTGTAGAAGCACTACTAATAATAACAATAGCAGATTTCAGTACTGAAAAATTATTTAAGTTCTTGTAGAATTGAGAATGAAGTTTATTCGAATTAGCAGTAGATGCCTATAGAGGTAATTTTTATTTTCTTGAAAAAGCTTAATGATTGCACATTCAAAAGATGAAAAAACAAAAGGATTCCACAGCATCCTCTTCAGATGCTATATTATTGTATATCTAGAACATCCAAGGATATAAGCATATAATGCAGAGATCCAGAGCTTATATTTTCCTCTTGCTGGCTTATACATATCTGCTTGATCTTTTCAATGACCATTTTGAAACTACTTCTTTTTTTTTTTTCTTCTTCTTCTTTTTTTTATAAAAAAAAACTTGATAGTGGATGAAACTCAATAACTCAGCCGGGGGGGCTGAGATTTGAATTAAGAATATCACAGCAACAGAAGATGACTGCATAGTGATCTCCGCAATTAATTAATTAACTTTGAAAAACTATGGCAATATTTTCAAGGGTATAAAATATGCATTTACCTTTGAGATTAACTTGATAAGCATCATGATCACCTCCGCTGCATACCCTTTGATGTACTCTAGCATGAAGTATACGGTCCATGTTACTATTATACAGATTTATACAGATTCAATCTGTATTAATGGGAAAGAATAATTCTTTTACTGCCTACTGCATACGTGGTATTAATAATCCTGTTTTAAGTTGGGATGGACTCAAGATACACTCACAAAAAATTATGAAACAAGCGTTTGAAGCTGACCTCCATATTGAATGTCTTGATTTCCGGCCTTGAATGTTAGATAAAACAAATCCATCAGTAAACTAGTTACAGAGACTGTTCATGTATATGCCTTTGTCTAGTGTATCCATTCAATACATGCATAATATTACCAAAGTTCAAGCTTTTCAGCTGTATCTCTGTGGTAGATTAAGTCCATCAACGTCTTGCGATGATGTTTACCTGCTCAATTGAACTCCTGGCCCGCTTTGGGCTGCTGTTCCCCATCTACTGCTGTCATCTTCTATTCTTAAGGAGAAACTCTGAATCCTGCATCCTCCTGCTGCTCCCTTCTCAACTGGTGATTTAAATTACGGAATCCAAGGGTAGACGGAGAGATCAATAAAAGGTGAAAGCAAAGCGAGAAATTTGAAGGAAAGTTATGATCCAAACAAGGGGATGCGGCTGTTTCCTACGAATTAGAAGCGTTTGGATTTTGGTTTTGAGAATTCATTTATCACATTATATAGATGAAAAATGTCCTGGGGTAAAACAATCAGAATGATTGGGACTTTGTTGAATTTCTTCAGGGTATACAAAGACAGCCTTTGGATTTTGGGTAAAAATTTCGTTGCAGAGTTTCTATTAAGCATCTGTTTTGAATTTCTGGGATATGAATTTAGAACAAAAACTAAAAATGAATAGTAATTAATTAGTGTGGTTCTGACTACTGAGGCCTAAATAAAAGCATAAATTAAGATTAGGGGACAAAACGAGAAAAATGATTAAGTTTAGGGACCAACTGCGTTGTTATTTCTTTTTGTCGATTTTTTTTTTTGAAAAAAAATAAAATTCTCGATAAATATTAAATGATCGGATCCGCTCCATTTGGTTCTGAAAAATCCGACCCGAATACTATAGTCCTCGCGAGGCCTCACTGCGCGAAGAACTGAACTCTGCAGTTTGAATTTTCCGATCATATTCCCAGTCTCCGATCGATTTGCCCTTATTGTTAATTTTTTCGTCGATGGATCCTCACCGGACGTCTCTCAATCCAAACAAGCACCTCAAAGAACAGTTAGTCTCTGCATCTTTCAGTTAATCTTCTTTTTCACCAATTTCTTCCATTCATCTGATTTCTTTCTTCCTTTTATTGATTTGTAGATTCGTGAGCAATCTGACTGGATCTTCCATGCTCGAAATCGCCGCTCTCTTGACCACTGTTCCGGTAATCTTCCCTAACGTTTTCTGCTTCACTCTTTTAATCTCTTCTTTCCATGCTAACAGTTCGTGCCACCGCGATTTGCTTCGCCTTCAGATTCTAGTACTTTTGCGGCAGTCTATCAGCTCATTTCACGTCAGTGGTGAGTTTACTGGCTTCTTGAAAACTGCAGTCTTAGTTCAACAGGACAATTATGCTTGTTCTTGAAATTGCAACTTTGTTCTTGATTATCAGATCAGAGCTCAGTCAGCTATCTGTTTCTGCAGGTGCTAGAGATACGCCGTCCGAGAAGAAAGATAATCCAGTTGTTGCCCCTAGGAATTTCAGCGCTTACTTCACTGCACTAACGTTGGATTTTCTCTCCATTGTTCTTCCTATGCTTTTATTTTTCACTGTAAGTGTTCCCAAGCGGCACCTGGAAACCTTTGACTGGACTCACCGTTTCTTTGTTTCAGAAACCTGTGAATGGATCCATGGCCACATGATATTCTTTTTGTTTTTCTTCTTTTCTTATTTCAGGTTTTAGCAGAATGGACATATGTATGGACAATTTTGTTAGCATTTTTGCTGATTTTCTGTGTCGCATCCAAAAGGTAGACCTTATCAGTTTCATGTTCTCCTTAATGTTTATTATGTTTTTAGTATCTTTTTTCCCCTGAGAAATCCATTTAGGCAACATATCAGTTCGTTGAGGATATCATTTAAGTTGCTGAATTAAACACAAGTTTACGATTACTAACTCAAAATGATATATACAAATCTTTCTATAACAGATCTATTTCTTCTTCTTCTCCTTCCATAGAAGGAGGACTGCGCCCATTTAATACAAGCATATCATCCTACAGGGTTGCCATGGTACAAATTCTTGCCTACATCTGAAGCCTCTGTATTTGTTTCTTTTATTTCATCTTACCTGGTTCCTTTGGGGTTATTTCTTGTAGATGCTTGTGACATGTTTGTGTATTTTGGCTGTTGACTTCAGAATATTTCCTAGAAAATATGCTAAGACTGAGACTTATGGTACTAGCTTGGTAAGATTTTTCAACCTGTATCCAGCAAATATTTTCTTTACAGTTTACTGTAATTCTTTAAAAATGCAATATGCTTATTATTTCTTTCATTATTTTCAATTCAGACTCAAATAGAATTTTTTTGGCTGTTAAATCAAAATCCCACTCATGTCCTCCATTAACAAGAAAAGGGCATTGCTAGGCCAATTCTCTGCTTGTAGTCTCAAAATTTTCTCCAATGATATGAATCTTATATGATTTTTGTTAGATGGATCTTGGGGTCGGTTCCTTTGTTTTAGCAAATGCAATAGTTTCAAGGCAAGCACGAAATGTCTCATCAATGTAAGTCATTCTATTACTTTTTGTTTATGATGTATATATTACTTCTTTTTTGTAACTCTTTGTTTTCCTTTCCTTTCTACAAATAAATTGCATAATAGTGATTGGAAAAGCTCTTTTCTCTGCACCAGGCCATACAACTCTCTTTTCATTCTTTGTTTGTACCATTAATTTATGATGCGAAGCTTGCTGTATTTTATTCCTTTTGGAGTTGGATTACACCTTTTACTCAGAATTATTTCAAAGACTTATTAATTTGGTGTAACTAAGAAATTACCACCTTTCATGTTTCATTTGCATTATATTGCTTGCCAAGTTTATGTGATAACGTGGTGTTATGTTAGTATATACATGCACCATGAATGCATTGAACTCAGCATTTTGCTACTTAAACTTTTGCAGAGAAACAGCAATATTTAATTTTTTGGTGTGTATCATTTATTGGGGTTAGGCATCATGACACTAGTTCTATTGACTGGTTGATGATTTTTCAGATGTTGTTTCTGTTTTCTCTTAGTTGTAAGAGTTACAACTTACCACTGCTTAAATCCAAAAAATAAGTTACCACCTAGCCTGCAAATAGTTCAGGTTCTTTTTTCTTTTGGCCATCCAATAGTTCAAGTTATTTGAATATTTTCAATACTCAACCTTATCATTGTGAATTAGTTCTGATGCTGGTTTCTTATTTGTTTCTTTGTGCTTGCATAGGAATTGGAAGATGGCAATTAAATCAACAAGTCCGTTGCTAGTGTTAGGGTTTGGTCGGCTTGTTTCAACTGCAAGTGTGGACTATCAGGTAGAATATGTTTCTTTTGTTTTTCATTTTCTAATGGTTAATTGCAGCATCATAGGATATTTAAATAATGCTGCATATTGGTGAGTGGAGTGATGTTTTTAACATTGTAGCTCACTGCTTGAGATACTCTATTAGGGTCACATTTTGTTCACTTAATATAATAGCCTATGACTATATGTGGTTTTGTACTTTTACCTGCTTTATCGTTTGTTAATGCATCCAACCTAAAGCCCATTGGCAATAGATGGAGAGACCCATTTATTTAATTTTTATAAGAACAAAGGGAATCCCAAATTGTAACCACTGTGGGATGACACCACTTAAAAAGTTCCAAGGATCAATTTTTATCTAGTAGATCTGTAGTTCATGACCCTGTGTGTTTGCTTCTTTCCTCTTTTCTTATTCCTTGCAGGTCCATGTTGGGGAATACGGAGTGCATTGGAACTTCTTTTTTACACTTGCTGGTGTTTCTATACTTTCATCCATAATTAATGTTTCCCCCAAATATTCTGGACTTCTTGGTTCAGTAATTTTATTAGGTATTCCTTTTTATTAAATATATTTCTTTCAATTATGATTAGTGTTATTTGATTAGCCAGGTTAGATTACTCATTTCTAATTTTCAGGTTACCAAAGTTGGTTGATGAATGGGCTAAATGTCTATCTTCTTTCCAATGAAAGGGGAATGGATGTTATAAGCAGAAACAAGGAGGGGGTATTTAGCATATTTGGTGAGTATAATCTGAAAATCCATCGGAATTCAGCATATACTATATATATATATATTGTCTTTGGCTTTCTAACTTTGTCATTTGCATTGGTTTTCTAAGTACCTTTCTTCATCACTTCATCTGATTCAAAATTTTTGTCTAGAAACTGATTGTTACTACTTCCAGGATACTGGGGTATGTATCTTCTGGGTGTCCAGGTGGGCTACTCTCTCTTTTTTGGTAATCGCTCTGCTATCAAGAGAAGTAAGAAGGGGATAACGACTAGCGTCTGGCTGCTTTCTATTTTCTTTTGGTATATATTAATCGCAAAGAACTTTGTCATCAAAATGTTGTCAGAATCTCTTCCAGCAATTTGATTGCCTTAAGGATGATCCCCCAATCAATTTGTTCAATGCTCTTTCCAGGTCATTAACATTGTTCCTCGAAAGGCATTTCGAAAGAGTTTCACGTAGAATGGTAGGATAAGCTGTCTGCTAACAGTCAATACATAATGACATGATGAATGTGAACCATTTGAGTTGAAGCTGATGAAAGCTAATTACATATAATTTTTGCAGTGCAACCTGGCTTATGTCACTTGGGTTTTGGCTCAAAATTTACAGGTATGATATGTAGAGTTATGAAATAGTGCAGTTAATGCAGTGTGTGTGAGGTCTTGTTTTGTCTGATTGTCTGATTTTGAATGCTTGTCATTTTGATTGGATTCTCGGATGGGTCTCTTCCTTTCTTTTTAATCTGTTGCTTGGTATTTTAGTTACTGCAGAATATAGACTGTGGTTTTGTGATCTCCAAATCATATCATGTGTGGCTAACCAAAGGTTCCTTCATGTTTCAGCTATTAGCAATACTTTTGCTTTCTGATTATGTCCCTGGGAGTAAAATGTTGATTCTTGAGAAAGCCTTTGACCAGAATTTACTGGTTTCATTCCTGCTGGTGAGCAAAATGTTCTCCAGTATATTCATGTACCAATACCTTCATTTGGAGGCTCAAAACAATTAAAACATCAATTTTCTTGCTTTTGTGCAGGCAAATGTCCTAACAGGGCTGGTAAATTTGTCTGTGGATACTCTGTTTGCATCTCCACTCTCAGCCCTATCAATCTTGATTGTCTATGCTTTCACTTTGACTGTCTTCCTTGGAATTATAAATTTTTATGGAATTAGGTTCAAATTTTGGTAGGTGTATATTTCTTTGTGTAAAATATTCATGAAAGCAATGTTTTTTTTCGAAATATTAGGTTTTGTTTTACCAATTTTGGTGGAACTTTGATGTGCTATTCACACATTGACAACTAATCTTTTTGAACTGTACTGAATAGGAGTTCCCAAGCACAATGTATCATGTGTGTTATACTGGACTACTGCCAAGAACATATTCTGCATTGCATGAGCTTCAATTAGGTTCTTATGGCACCCTGGGCATAAATATCAACATTCACATGCACATGCACATGCATATTGTGATATTTTTCGGGTATGCCAATTGTGCTAATCATTGATCAACACTGTTCATAATCCGCAAGACAACAACTCATTATGATGCATAAGTCGCTTTCGCATTGTAGATTGTACTTAGTTTTGGTACATCACAAAAGAACAGTACAAGAGAGGAAACTTTAGGAACTTGTTAGCCAATTAGTGCAAGCGGGGGAAAGGGTGAAGAATGTGATTGAGTTAGAATGTGGATGATTGCTGATATGAACTTTTGAAGGACGAAGCTGACAGTCACATGGATTTTCCTGCAAATGAATTACCTTACAAGTTGGGCCATGGTCCAAATATCGACCTTCCCTCCATCGGTCCTCATCCCTAGATAAGGTAACAGTTCGCTCTATTTGTTCTCTTCCTTTCATGATATCCTCTTTCTCTGTTATTCTCGTGTATGTGGCACGTAAATATACCAGCTTGCAATGTACCGTGCGGTGTGCATTGCTATATGTTATATACCCATTTTTAATGTATCGTATGCTTGATGAATAAACAAATTAGCCTATTTGTTCCATGATTTCTTTGGCGTGGTTGTGATCCTAGCACCACCTTCCTGTATCAGTCTTATTTTCTTTACCCTGTTGTTTGTTTTAAGCTGAGTTTCTATTGCTTTTCTGTTTTGAGGGTAAGATGCTGGCTATAGAGAACTTTGTAATGCTCTCTGATACGTATGCAATGAAAGTTCAGTTAATTGTTTCCCCCCCTCCCCACCACCAACAAAAAGGCCTATTTGTTTCTTAGGACACCCAGAATTTCCAATTTTGCGTTCTTTAGGATTGATGGGTGGTTTTGGAGTCGGAAAATATTTTTGCTTACCTTTTTTATACACTCAGTTAAAAATAGAATGTCCTATTATTTGTGTATGAATACAATTATGCAGTGCTTCACGAAGCAAGCCATTACCGTGCTCCTTCTAGAAGTGCTTTAGACAATTTTTGTATATAAAGATGCAATCAAGTTTTGATGGTTTGATTCAAAGTTTCCATCCAGACAAGGGCTACCTTTGTTAAGTCTTTGGAACGGCAGGCTATTCTCAGCAAATTTTGTTTCACAGTAAAATCAGCCGAATGTAAAACGGCTTTTTAGCGACTTTTTGGTTCAAGAATCAAAAACTTTTATAGGGCTGATCTCTAGGCTTTTGTGCTTCCATTTCTCTACTACGGTGGATTCCAGATCATTTTCACGAGCTGCTTGACAATTGACATCACGATGACCACTATTTTGTGGTCATGCAATGCAGGTATCGAACATGTTACCATGATAGGTCCTTTTAATCAAATTATTATAATTTTGTTTTACTGTTATACCTTCACTGCTGACTCTTAGGGTTACACAGAGATCATCATCGTCTGATTGTCGTGCCGCATGATCAACGGCCCATATCAATCCAACTCTCATGATCCGAGAAACCCCTCCAAGGTTTTTTAATTAGCAAGTAAAATATAGTAGGTTAAATGTTAATTTTATTTCATAAACTTTTAAATTTGAATATTTTAATTTTTAAATTATTTTTTTCCGTTTTTTAAGTCTTTAACTATGAAAAATATTCTTTTTAGTCATTTTATTAGTTTGTTCTCTAAATATGTATAATTTAAATTCCTAAACTTATAATATATACATATTTTTAGTTTTTCAACTTATAAGTTTATGAATTAATTAAAAATATACATATATAGATTGATTTAATAGATTAATAGAGGAAAGCATTAAAAAGTGTATTTTTCATAATTTATGAAAAAAATAAAAAATAAAAAATAATTCAGAAACTAAAAATATTCAAAATTAAAAAGTTTGTGGACAAAAATTAGCATTTAACCAATACAGTAAGGGTTGTGAAGCACATGGTAGGCTTTCTAAGTTTCTATCTAATTAATGTATATGAGAATCTAGGGGGAGTCAGTCATTTCCCGCAAGACACAGCACAGATTTGAATGTGAAGGGTAGCTTTTACACAGCTCGTCTTCTTGTTTGTATGCATATTTCTATACAGATTTGGGTCCCCCATACTCTATGTTGCAGAAACTTTGCCCGGGTTTGATAGCATCTATGAAGTCGGGAAGACTACTAAAACCAGGTAAGTGTAGAGCCTTCTTTCCTCTTTTTTCTTCCCCTCGCTTTTTACCATCAGAAAAGCACAACTCCTTCACAGCCCCTCTCACGTGCACCTTATCTCTCTATTCACCGCCCCTAGGCTCCCTACCCTACCCTTGAGCTTCAAGCTTCATTTTAACCAGTGTCCTCCCTCCCTCTCAAAAATGTTCAAGAGTTAGCCTCTGCTTTAAACGTGGCTCTAAATTATTGTATGAAGATTCATTTAGAGGTGTAGATATTAGTTATAGAGAAATGTCACTTGAAGCTCTTTCTTCCAACGAGCTCTCGAACTTTTTCATCTATGGCACCATATCCGCCACTCCATATAGCATCCATGACTCTGTAGGATCTAGTTTTTCTTTGGAAAAAATTACTAGTGCTCCGGAGCAAACTGGTGCTTTGAATTACTGTTCACTAGGCACCCAACAACGTCGCTCACCCAAGGCAGAGGAGGCTGTCGACAGGAGGCAAAATTTGGCAGTGCAAGGCAGGAAGAAGAGGAGGAGGAAGCCTAGGGTCTGCAAGAGCAAAGAAGAAGCTGAGACACAACGAATGACTCACATTGTTGTTGAGAGAAACCGGCGGAAGCAAATGAATGAGCATCTTTCTGTTCTTCGCTCCCTCATGCCAGAATCCTATGTCCAAAGGGTTTGTTAATTTCCTTCCTTCTTCTTTCTTCTATCTGCTTCTCTGTTCTGTTTCTTCTCTCTAAGACTAGAAGGCCAAAGAAAAAAACTGCAGGATGGTTCTTCTCAGTAGCCGTTAGTTTAGTACAATGGGTAGTGCTTATTGTTTTTATTGTTACATTAGGAAACTTTGGCCATCAATGGTCTCATTAATATTATAATAATTAGATGCATGTACTTAAATTGCTTGCATTGCTATGATATAATTCAATTTTTTGTGTTTTGTCGCATTGAACATAAATTATTTAGGAAAAAAATTTTTGTTTTAGTTGCCATATTTGTGTAAACTTTTTTTTTTTTTTTTTTTTTTTTTTGGTTGCATAATAGAAAACAATCATCTCCCATCCCTTATCTCGCTCCATCTGCATGTCATGCGACTTGAACTCAGATCTTTTACTTCCAGTGGAAAAAGATAACTACTGAGTTATTTAAGTTATTGACCATATTTGAG